ATTTGCCATCCCAATGCGTATTGGTTGATTTGGTCTTAACTGATTAATGTCAACTTTGTAGCCAATTGGCTACCCATGCAGACTTCGGTTCTGATCACCTTCCAGTAACTTTTGAAATGTCCCAAGAAATAATTTCTAATCCCAACAGCTCTACTTTCAATTACCATAGAGCTGATTGGGAGCAATATCGATCATTTTTGGAATATAGCTTCGATCCAAACATTCCTTTGCAAACCAAAAATGATGTTAATTATGCTCTTGAATCTCTGACTACTTCTATAGTTGAAGCAAGAGTTGCCTCAGTACCAAAATGCAAGGTTAAATTCGATTCAATTATAATAGACGACGATCTTCATCCTTCTTAAAAATGTCAGTAGGAGACAATATCAAAGAACACGCGATCCTGCCATGAAAGTTATCTGGGGGATTTGCAAAAAAAAAATTAAAAAGCGATTCTCTGCCCTAAGGAACAAAACTTTTGAAAATAATGTTTCCGAGTTCCAAACCCTTTTGGAAACTTACAAAAAATTTGAAAAAACCTCAAAAGCCTATTCCAGCGTAAAATTTTGATTCCCAAAGTTCTCATAATTTCAGTTTGGGTCTTACTATTTCTATTGAAAATCAGGTTGCTCGAGATTATCTGATTAAGAATTTTCTATATCCTCATCAAAAAACTCCCAGAGAGTACCTTATCTTTCTTGTTAAATTATTTAACAGATGTTTCCATTTGGCATACTTTCCCGATAAATGGAAAAATGCAAACGTTGTTTCAATTTTTAAGCCGTATAAAAATCCAGCTAAAGCTTCTAGTTACCGTCCAATAAGTTTGCTTTCTTCAATAAGGAATCCAATTTTAACTGACAAAGGGTCGCAATACAAGATCGACGGAAAACAAATCAAGGAAATTTTTTTTAATCAATAATGAATAGCTAAAATTCAAATTATTTCAATGATTCTATATTTTAAGATCTTGTATAATTTCATGTTCATTGAAAACATTTAGCACAAGGACAGAAGTCCCACATTTAGTAAGAGACTTTTTGAATGCTTCCGAAAGTTATTTGAGATGAGATGAACTAGTGAGATAAGTAACCGTGCTCAACTATAAGAATCTTCATAAGTACTGAGGCTAATTCCATTAGTTCGTCCATACATCTTTAATAAATGATTCCATATTTTTGATAAAACAATGTTCAGATTATCCCCGGATTATTAAACGTAGTTAGGCACATGTTCTATTGTAATTGTTTAATAAATGAATCCATGCATCGTAAAATTCCCATCAAATTAAAAATAACGTGATGCCTGAAAGCATTTTGTACAGAAACATATTTCATATATGCAATAATATACAATATCCAATAAATGCTGAGGTGAGTCTCATCAGCAAAACAGTGCCTACTTTCTCTTGCCGGACACAAGCCAGGATGATTCAACCAGCAGGCCAAAATAACATTCACAACATACATAGTGACGAAGCATGTTGGAAATCCGGTTTCGAAGGAACAACGGAAAAAAGCACATCGTATGCATTAACATTTCGGTATAACCTGCCTGCTATAATGCCACTAGGCCATGATTTTTTTATTATATTAAATTTTGTCCATCGTATGATATAGTGATTCATTTCATTTACAATGTAAAATCTCCAAACATTGACAACATTATTATAGTAACTGGACAGCTCATTGGGATGTAACACGATTCATAATATTTTTTCGAGACACGGTAGCATAGCTAGAAAAAAATAAACATTAGTTTAACAGGATCAAAAATATGTGTGGGGTAGTTTGGAACTGAAGGTCAAATTTGATATGTTTGCAAAGTGTGTTGTCGTTAATAAATAATTACATTATGCCGTATTGGAGATTTTTCTAATCCTAACATTTAAACTGTGTGAACAAGCAGGTCAACACTTGGAATGATTTGACTACAAATTCAACCTCTACTAGTACAGTATTGGTGCTGCTGAAATTGTCTGAGGACATGGGAATTGGTATAGCGGCGTTAGTCACGCATTTTTGACCGTTTAGGATTTTATATGCAATTGAAGTCAATTGTCTCAGACACGATTACCCGGGGTTATGTAAATTAACCAATCACACTCAACTAAAATCAATGCTCCTATTAGGTGTACAATCTGGCGATGAATTGAATCATAGAGTAAAGTGTAAATGATGGTTTCATAACGTTATATACTGGTAGATAAAAGCTTTTTGATTTACAGTTTATCAAAACGGGGCCTCAGATATCGAGATTTCCCCATTGCAGACGTTTACGTTGACGATATCGATGGTTATCGATTAACAGCTCTGATCATGACTTTTTGCTACTTGAATAACATGTTAGATATAAGATTCCCATACTTATCAAGATCATGAACTCTTAATATTGTTGTGATTCAGTATTTTGAAAACGATTAGATGAAAGTGAGTCACGACGAGCAACGTCTCTTGAACACAACTTTTGACAATGGATGGCAATCGATGTCCGTCGGTGATTGGCACTAGCTTGCAGAAGAGACGTAGACGACCAGCTTAGACCAAGAAGAAGAGCATTAGTTGCCTGTAGAATACGACACATTTAATTTTAATAAATTCTCTAAAGATTTGAAAGTCTGGGCCACATTATGTAAGCAAGACGAAACGATTTTTTCATATAAGCGTTCCTTCCAAAAACACATAGGTAGTTTTGACTCCCTCAATGTTGCTCCTGGTCTTGAAAGAGGCAAGATGATTACCATCATTTTATAAATCTAGATGCCTAAGATTCATTTCAAATTGATCAAGTTCATCATGTTAGCTCATAACATACATGAGCCACAAAAGTAGAAACTTTTTTGAGATTTAAAGTATTGTATATGGACATCAATCTATCAAAAAAATTATAACAGCTTTCAAACGACGATTGATTTCAGCATGCCAGGATTTAATATGTTAAATAATACGTCATTTACTTTCATTATGACAAATTTATTTTCTGAATATTTACTGCTAGTAGGGGCTGTTCATTAACTACTTAGACAGTTTTTTTTAATGCTTTATCGGGGGGGGGGGGGGGTCTTGGACAGTTTTCCATACAAAAAATTTAAAATTTGTATGGGCCGTGGATAGTTGTTAACCCTCCCCCCTAAACTGTCTACGTAGTTTATGAACAGCCCCTAGAATGCTGATACCGTTCTGATTCGTATTTCGGGCACTTGTGCAAGTGCTTCAAATAATGGACTTGACATTAATGGTAAAACATTATTTAGTTTTTTTTTCTTCCATACATTGCTTAAGAAATCTTTAATTGAGCTATCTACGATGAATTTCTTCCAACTATAAATTTTCACGGGTATATTTTTTTAATTGATTTTTTTCTGTGGTTAACTTAGAAGAACTTTTAGATATCATTTTTTCTTTGAACTTTTTGTATTTCATACATTTTGAAGACTCGAGAGAAGCAGCAATGCAGAATTTTGAGTTGACCTTGCATCGTTCCATTACGCTAGAAGGACGATAAATTAATCGAGCGCTTATCGATACCTGTAATACCCAACCCTCCCTATGTTTCTCAACTGCGTCCAATTTAAAATTTCTGCTCAAATCCCAACACAAAGTTCTACTCCAGTTGTGGAAACATTGGTCCAAAAGACAAATAAAGTGATAAAAATGATCCTATAAAAACAGTCGACCACTATGACTAAGGTCTCAGCTAGCTGTCACAAAGTTTCCAGCAATAGCTTCAACATTTTTTTTTGTAAAACAATAAGCACTGTTCACAAGCAAAACTAATCGTTTGATTATATTTTACGTAGCTCGTTTCGAAAAAGTCTACTTTGTTTAAATCGAACGTTAAATAAAAAATAGAAAGTTTTTAGTTTCACGAGTATTAATTAAATAATATCAGAGAAATAAAATCCTTAAGCGTACATAATCTCCACTGGCATTTTACGGATTAAATCATTTTGAGGTTGCTGACCTGACGTCCTAGTTCAAAAACCTTGGAAAGCAAGACATCCATGCTACCAATCGAAAATCTAAATTCACAGCATGGACACTGGGCGTTGTAACAAGATTGTCGTAAATTATGTAATTTCGTTCATTCAAGCTTAAATTTTGATAAAATAACCTTTTATTCACTATTTTTATTTAACATGCTATCACGCAAACAACACTGATACTCTTCTGTTGAAATAATCGCTGCATAACTTTATATGAAGTACATTGACCACAGTTCGAAAAGTCCATTATTCGTTCAACGGTTTCATTGACCTATTTAAGATTTAAAATATTTCTTCGTCATTTGCAGTGCCACCAATTCAAGAAATCACTGACTGTCCGTGAATCGAGTTTACGTCACTTTCGGTAAAAGTAAAAGTTCAGCTTTCATTTCACCTTTTCTTAGAATTTTGCGTCCTTTCTTTTTGACTCAATAATGCTGTAAATCCGGTTTTTTTCATCTCATCCAAGGTTCACCATCACAGTGAGGTGGAACCCTAGACACAGATACACGCGAATTGCCGGGAACGGGATCTGTGCTAGTTCACAAACATAAGGAACACCGGATCGAAACTTTTCCATATGCAAGCAAGACGTTGATGTAGGTTATTATAACGTTAACAGCACACCGCTTCACTGCTTCTATTTTTTAACCCAAATCTCGCTAACTGTACATTACTTTCTCCGTCGATTCAAAAGTGTCACGTTGCGCTCAATCATACGCATTCCATTCGTCTGCCACTGAAGAAAATTTGTATAATTCACTTTTCATCGCGTTCATCGCTCTTTATTTAAATGATTGTAGACATTTATGCACCATCATTGATTGAATCGAACCATTAATATAAAAATAGTAATACATGTTGAATCACCGTTGAATTAAATTCCATACTCATGTCATTGACCGATGATTGATTTTAAAAACGTTTTTTATTTTACACGTTACAGATGAATTCTTTCAACAAAGCTGCACCTGACATCTAATTTTTTTTTTCGAAAAGAAATATCTTTTCTCACCTGTTCTACTAATAGTATCCTACAATTTTTTAAACTGATACAATGCACACTTTCAGCAGGAACCTGCTATCCACTCGGCTAATAAGAAATATCTGAAACCGTATTTGCCTTGAACTTGTCTTTATATATGATGACCCACTTCCAGCTTTTCTTTTCTCTTTCTTCTGCAGTTAACACCAACACCGACGAAGAAAGATACGCTAAAAGTGGAGAGAAGAGAAATGGTTGAATTCACTTCAAGAGTTCTCGTTTCGTCTGCCATAGTGCAATCAATTTCTTATAATTTTACCGTACAGCTCAGAAGTAGCTACTGTTAAGTTCATACAGCATTCTCACTATATAATATTAGCGGTTATAAGCGGCTACTGAAAAAAATTTCAATAGATTTAAAATTTTCCAAGATCAATCTGAGCATCGAAGGCTAAAAATGAAAAGACCCACTATCCCATACCATGGCCATCATTTCCATTAACCAAATTTTCAGTATTCTAGCCTGTTGTAAAAAATATACTCACAACAGCTTTATTTACAGTGGTTTATATCCATGCGAAAGATTTCAATGCTGGCATGGAAACAAACCCAAAAGCTTTCCGGATTCCCATGCTTATGGGTGTAATATATGACACATGCTTGTTTGAATTGCATTCTCATAACCAATAGCCTCTGCATTACTGAAAGTAGCGTTCCGTTGACATGATTTGTATCAAAGGATTGGCTAGTTCATTTTTTTACCCTTCTTACAAACAGGGTACACATATCGCTTGGAAAATCGACTTTTGATCCGAGTGTCATGTACCAATCGACTCAGCTCGACGAGATCGGAAAATGTGTGCGTGTGTGTGCGTGTGTGTATGTATGTATGTATGTATGTGTGCGCGTGCGTGTGTATGTATGTATGTATGTGTTCGCGTGCGTGTGTGTGTGTGTGTGTGTGTGTGTGTGTGTGTGTGTGTGTGTGTGTGTGTGTGTGTGTGTGTGTGTGTGTGTGTGTGTGTGTGTGTGTGTGTGTGTGTGTGTGTGTGTGTGTGTGTGTGTGTGTGTGTGTGTGTGTGTGTGTGTGTATATGTGTGTGTTTTTGTGTGCATTTTTTTTTCATTATGAAAAAAAAATTTCATGTTAAAAATTGTTCCAAAATAATTATAGAGGAGCACGAACACCTGCAGTACATCCGGTCCTGTTCCGACGACCACGTTCTCTCAAATAACGTAGCACTCCCTTTCCTCGAACTCCTCCCCAACAATTGTTATTCGGGAAATTGTTGACGTCGGAATACTCTTGTCGGAGTCAAAGTTTAAACCAAACATTAATTATTTTACACAAAACAGAACAATCTTGATTTTACATATCCATTGGATTATAACATTTTTTCGCGATTTAAAGCTGATCATGAAGCAAAAGACGCAGACAACACTTCACTTCTGATCTTCTGAAAAATGGCGGGTGGAAAAAAGTAATAGCTGATTACCAAGATTCGGCAATGGATGAGGTCAATACCGAAATCTCAGTGAACGCAATTGCTGATTTCGGTATTATTCTGATGTGCTCAGCGAATTAATTTGCCGAATCTCGCTACAATTTGATTAATTGCTGATGTTTCGGCAAATGTTTTTGGTCAATCTCGGAAAAAAATATTTTGGTTGCCGAAATATCAGTAAAATTATGAATTGCCGTGTCAGCTCAGTATTTTTTTCTACCAACCTCGCAAATCTATTTTAAGTGTGTATGTGACGACCCAGACAACCAGAAGTCGTATAATAATGTACAGACAGTATCGTAAATTGCTACAGTTTTAGTCAAAATCGCATATACGAATGGCATACCTCGCATTATGTATAAGTTAAATCGTATAGAATGCAAATTTCCGACCGATATGCGATGACTCATTTTTCCATCGTACTGTATCACAAATTAAATCGGATTACATCGTAAGACTTTTCAAAATGAATTTGTTATTACAGATTGAATCGTATATGATGTTAAATCAACTCGTTTAAAATAAAATTAAAATATGCACGTATATGGCCTCCACTTTTGTACGTATAAGCCATTTCTTTGCATTATATACGAATTGTTTGCTTGTATATATGTTTGTATATCACGAAAACAACTTTGAATATACATGCATTCTGGTTGTCTGGGGAAATAAAGTAAGTCATGTTTCTCAGCAACAACTTGACCGCAACAACCGCCAAATTAAAGGTATTGTGGGTGATCCCATATTTTTGGAATCAGTCAACTGGTTCCGGAGATACGGCTGGAACATGTTCCGGTGAATAAGGGTCGTGAGTCTATAATCGACCTGAATCGTGTTAAACCCATCATGTGACACCTAAAATTACACAAGAATTCAAAAATATGATCAATGGTGGTCACATTGAGCATGCAGGCCCAAATTGACCAATCCGGACATTTTCCGTGTACCCCAGGGGAAGTGGCTAGTTTCTGAATTGGATCAAAACCCGTCATGCAGCAGCTCGAACCACATGAGAATTAAAAAAAACAAATGCAATGGTGGTTATAATGGGCCAGGATCCATTAGACACATCCGAACATGTTCCGGGTACACATTGAGTAGTTTCCAGTTCCTTTCAAGAGCCAAAAGCCATCATACGATACATAAAATATTAAGTAGTTAAATTCAGTTTTTTTTTGCATAAATTACATTACACCGAAAAAAATGTTACCATAATATCGTGATTCACATTTAGGGACCATTACGTAAGATTTTTCTGGTTTTTTTTTTTTATCCCAGCTCCCCCTTAGTAAGATCTAACATTGAACATTAACATGTTTTGCATTCTTCATGATTTCGAAAGATTTGCCTGAGATTTCCTGCCTTTCTTGTAAGAAAACGTAAGAAAGTTTACTTTTAAAATCGTACGTAATAACTGCATGGTCCCTAATTCAAATTAAATGCAGTATCGATAGTATTCGATAGTATCGAATGATATGAACTAGCCAACTGGCTTTAAATCTCAATAATAAAGGTTAACCTTCCTAGTATATTATGGTATTTTTTGAACACCTCGTATACTGGTAGTAAAATTGGCATCCAGAAGTAAAAAGACATCATGCCATGGGCCGTAAGGTGAATCTGACCACATTCAGATACCCAGAGCTGGTTTGGGTAGGGCTCGAAAAACACATCTTCCTAAACCTCATGTACTGGTATCGTCGGACGGCTCAAAATTTATGATTTTTCAACCAGAAGGAAATAGACATCATGCCATGGACCAAAATTTGGATCTGGCAACATTTGGATTGGAACCGGTCCCGGAAGGGCCCCAAAAAGAACACTTCCAAAACCTCATGTACTAGAAGCGGCCGATGGCTCAACATATCTGATATTTCATCCAGAAGTAGATAGATATCTTGCAACAAACAAACAGGTTGATTTTTTACATCCGGATACCCAGAACCGATTCCGATTGGGCCCCAAAAAGGACAATTTTCTAAAACCTTATGTAAGGTTACTTCCAAACCCTCATGCAGTGGTATCGTCCGACGGCTCAAACTTTATGATTTTCAACCAGAAGTAAATAAACATTAATGTCTATGGACCAACAGGTAGATATGACCACATCTGGATACCCAAACTTCCAAAACCTCATGTACTGGTACCGTGCGATGGCTTAAAATTTATTATTTTTCATCCGGAAGTAAATAGACATCATGCCACGAACACACCTGTGAATATGGTCACATCCGGATACACGAAACCGGTTCCGATAGGGCTCATCATATAGTGGTACCGGCCGACGGCTCAAAATTTATGATACCCAGAACCAGATCCAGGAGGGCCCAAAAAGAAAACTTCATAATCCTCATGTACTGCTACCTATAGTCGTTATATTCAGATCTGAAAATTAATCATAAATTGTTTGTATTAGTATATGTTTCTTATTTTTCATGTTTATTCAATTCCTATTTAAGATCTATATAGTTTAATATGTATACATTATATGACCTAATGTTAATTTATCGGTAGATATTCTCAAATTCTTCTCTTTTACTTCTCTGTAATCTATAAAAGTTTTTCGTCTATTTCGTTTGACCCTCTGCGCTTTAAATCTAGGTTTATTCTTGCTTTTTATGCCTTGTATCCTATTATAAATTATCTCATCTCTTTCCAAATTCGGTTCTTCTGACCTGTTTTTATTCTATGTATTTATGTAGTGTCCTTGCTTGATTTGTCTCAATTTTAGCATTTATTTATTTTTTATTTGTTTTCCGTCGATCTTGTTTTCCATACTGAGTACCAATGCTACTATGCTACGCCATCTCTGTGGAAAATATCCTGATGATATGATTAATTGGCTGAAAGGAACGAAGTTACATTATACTGGGTGCCCGGACATTATGGTGTTGAAGAAAATGAAAATGCTGACAGTCTAGCAAGACAAGCTTCTGCATCAAACATCATCGGTCTGGAACCATTTTGTCCCTGAGGATGAAACTTGGGAAACGTCTACCCCCGGTAATCTGACCGTTCTTAATCTGATTACTTTTTAGTTTGAACCCCGTTAATCTGCACGCCGTGCAAACTAAAAATTGTTCAAATGTCCATGGAATGTAGTAAAGCTAAATGCGACAATGCGAAACGGAATACAGCATCAAAATAAAACAGCAAATAAGGTTACCTGACACTCGCTTTTCTGACGGTCGTAGGGTGACTAGAAATTCAAATTAAAAATAAATGCACGAAGTGTTGTTCAGATTAACGGGGGTCCACGGTATCGGAAATATAATTAATACGTGATTGTTTGAGTATCGTTTCAATCAGAAAAACAAGAAATTTGTTTTTTTTTTCAGATATTTGAAAATATGTAAAACATACTATAAAAAAGCTCCATACGAAATTAAAGTACATAGTGGAGATAGTAATTTAAATCAATATATTCTACTATCAAAGTTACTCGCATTATCAAAGCTCCTCGTTTTACGGTACGTAGGAAGAAATATGTCACGTCCAGAAGCTAGTTTTCACTTTACAGGCGTCACATTTTTGTCGGAGACCTTGTAATGCCTCAAATGAATATTTAACATGGAACCGGCCTAAACTGGCCCCTGAGGGAACCTGTTGGTAACAGACTTAGGATCGGTATCAGATCCTTACTTAATCGGTATCAGAACCGTAGTCATTACTGGCTACAATTCTCTGATAAGTCAACGAGATCACATTTTCCTCATATGATCACATCCTGAACAATGTAAACCCTCTTACCTCGACCATCTAACTATCAGTGATTGGTCCCATCCTTAGAGACTAAGATTTAAGTGATATTTGTAATACTTCCAAAAGAATTGTCGGCTCCCTAAACCTTTCGTCATAAAGCCTCTTAAAATAAACGAATTTAAAAAAAAAATGGATAATATGTGCAAAACATAAAATCTTCGTGTACTCACAAAGCCACATTACGAACTTGATCGGGATTCTCCAGCCAGTGGTCATTCCATAGATGTGGTTTTCTTTTATCAAATTGTTCTTAGAGTACGACAAATGAAATCACTATAATAAACCTAGGTGAAAATTACGATGCCAGTAAAACATGAACCTGACGACTTTTGAAAACAAGCTGGATCGGATCCAGGTTCTGCGGTGGACAATTAGTAATCGCTAAAGTTGCTCCATGCTCCATGCTCCATAGAGGTACATCAAACTTTAAATTACGTTGGTCTATAAGCTGCATTGAATTCCTTTTGAGATATGTGCATTATATTTTGTTTAACTTTAAGAGGTCGTAAATTAACTTATGAAGATCAAGTTCAGCACCGACACCTTTCATCGCCGTATTAGTTAAACTTCCAAGCAAACCTAACTTTGCAAGGTCTTTGTGTAGGAACAAAATTTGTGTTTATACAAGTTTGTTCCTAACAGTTATTTGGCAAACAATGATTAAAAATAAAAGTTGTTGAGGATCCCTCGGTGGACTATATATATGACACTCGGCCCTACGGGTTTCAGATTGAAAGTTGGTTTTCCAAGCGATCAGGTCCAGATAATTGTCTTGAAATTTGAGCTCATTTGGATCCGAACTCATACTGCACTGGCCATACTGGTTTATATAGGAATTACTATGAGAAATGTGTAATTTTTGTTCTCATCGCTCTAGCCCTTCGCTGTAATGATGTTCGGAAAAGTTAGCTATCAGTACTAATTTTAAATTTTCCCAGCAACAACTTTGCTTGAGAACACATTTTAATTATCAGATAATTGTGACCTACTGTTCGTATTTATCGTATTACAGACCTTTTTTTACAGCAAATGTGGCTTCTAACTCACTCACGTATCCTGGACACCTCCCGTGGAACATAGAGCCAACGTAAATGAAATCCCCATCCTAGTGCTGCGACTTCGGTGAACGAAAGATTTCCATCCTTACCGACTTGCTTTTCTACATTTGCCTTCCCTAATAAATAGAGCTCAACGACATGTTCGAATTTTCATCAAAAACCTTTAGAGAAATAGTTCTACCATTCATGTTTATCATTTGTTTATGATATTTGTATATTAGGTATGGTAGGGAGTTTCATGGCTTTCTTTCAGAAATTATTTGCCAGCCACTTTTGTCTTATATACAGTGAGACAAACAACTGTCACTTATAATTCTTATATAAAAACGAAAACTAAACTACATTCAGAAATTCAATCTGGAATATGGAAATCTTCCTTAGTGTTTAGTCGATAATGACGTCGTCATCATCACTCTCCTTCTCGTTGCAAGATTCCCCGCCACTTTGTGGATCGGGTTCATGTTCTGCATCTGACGATAGGTGTTTACTAGTAGGTTTGATGGTTTTTCTCCACTTCATTCGACGATTTTGAAACCATACTTTAACCTAAAATGGAAAGAAAACTCATGTAAAGAATATTAGTTGAACCCTGAGTTGAGCAGTAAATTTTAACGGTGCTACATGCACTCAGAATGGTCGTGTGCTTTTTACATTCAACCAAAGATATCTAATTAACAAGATATCCCACTAATCAAAACCTCAAACAAGACAATAGATACACCTCCCTTATGCGATCACAGTGCCACCTATTCTGTATTTCGTTCGAAACGAAATTCCTAAACAAATTTTTTTTTTGTGTGAGAATTTCGTTTCGAACGAAATACACTATAGGGGTTTGAAAGTAGTGCGCATCATTGTGCGAAAACATTGCACTACTTTCGAAACTATGTGTAACGTATAGAACGAGAGTAAAATCGAATGTCGCAAGAAGGTTTTTCCGGTAATCAACTGTACCGAGGGTAAAATCTATTGTAAATGATTGTTATTTCAATAAACAAAATAATCATTTGTTTTCATATGCCAATTATTTAAAAATAGCATCTCTTCACAGACATAATATGGATTGACAGAGATATAAAATGTATAAGCGATACATATAATATTCATGTTACAAGTCAGGATAGATGTATATAATTTATATTATTTTTAAAGCATAACTGTTTTTTTAGTTTGCATATGACTTGTATATATATATTAACTACTTGCGAGTTATGAGTATCCTTTAGACGGTCAAGTAATAATTAAATGACATAATTTCAATCATAGTGAGATATTCCAGAGGGTTTTAAATGAGAATAATGTTTATAAATTTAAGTGATTGCATGTTAAATGCAAACACTACAAATTTTGAAGCATCAATATTTTGAAATTTGAACGATTTGGAACTTAAACTTGGAAATGTTTTCAAAATTTGTAAAGTTAGTTTTGAAGATTTCGGATTTAGAAAAATGTTCAAGATTCTGATGCTTGGATTTTTTTTTCTCCAGATTTTGGACTAGGTTTTTTTTTAGATTACAGACCTATTTTTCTCGGAATCCTGGACCTAAAATATATTTCTTTACAGATCTACAGGGTATTGTATCTTTACCCTTGTCTACTGTATAGTTTTAAGTGTTTGAGTCTGTAACCCTCTGATTGAAAAGAGTGTCAATTGTCGTTATTATTCTGAGGAATGTTCCATGGAAATTCTGATGACAATTCCAAGGAAATCAAAATACAAGGACATTTTCAAAGGAATTCTGACGATGGTTTCAAGGAAATCCCTGAAGTAATCCAAGGAAACTCTGAGAAAAATTCAATAGCAATTCTATGGAGTTTTCAAAGGGATAGATCCTCTGAGCACAATCCGAAACGAATACCGACAAGGTTCTGAGGATAATTTCCAGGGAACTCGAACAAGAATTGCAAGGAGATTATGAGATGAGAATTTCAATAATTTTCAGGAAGCAACAATGTCTTCTCGGTCGCGGATGAAGAACTAATAAAATCTGTAGCAACAATTGCTACCAAGAAGCGTGAGTCACATAAAGCTCAACATCGTTTACTTGTAAGCAAATATTAATCCGATGTGTTCACCCCTAATCATTTTGGCCTATGGTCTTTCATTATACAAATGAAGTGTAAATAACAACGAACACGACATAATGACATGCTGTTTGACAACAGGTTCTTCATTTCAATTTTCGTTAGAGAAAAAGAGATAACAGGCGGTACCCCAATAGCATCAACTATTAAGCTAGTACATACATAGGCGTAGCCAGATAGGGGCAGGGGGGGGGCGACTTGCTTGGGACCAATAGGCTAGTCAAGTAGTGAGCCAATTTTAAATCGTTAGTTTCCACCGCACTTAGATTTTTTGCCGAGATGGGCACCACCGAGCAGCTCGGAATTTTCGTTTGCTGGATCCCCTGGATAATATGCGATATGCAATTATGCAATAAGCTTAATACCCCGTACAGACTATGGCTAATATCATGTAATATAGGCTGTCTTGCAATGAGCACTCATACATCTAGTTGTCACTGGAAATCCTATGTATGAGTGCTCATTGCAAGACAGCCTATATTACATAATATAAGCGATAGTCTGTACGGGGTATACAATGCGATGATGAAGAATAACAAGTATAAGAAAAAGAAGAAGACATCCTGATTTTTTATGTGGTAATTTGATAAAAAAAAAGCGAATCATCAACTCTACCGAGCGGGTAAAAAAGCGTAAAAATCACACAAGAGACAAAGGGGTGTGTGAATGAAAGGGAAAGAACACAGAGACAAAAAAAAAACTTTTTTTTCACCGGCTATTTCAGCTTAGCATTCTTGTTTGCTATTACTTCATTAAAATTATGTAAAAGGTGCTTTAAATAAGGAATGTTTGTTTATGAACTTCCTAATTTTAATTTATTTTTGTTTTTCCTTTGATTTGTTTTCCAACGATCTTGTTTTCCGTGCTGAGCAGCAATGCTACCGACGCCAGGGAGGCAGCTCCCACACCTGGACCCTACCTATCGACCCATCAACTCATGAACCGGGGACCAACGGCTTTACTTCCCTTCCGAAGGAAGGCGTGATCAGAGATGTTATGCCTCAAAACTGAGATTGTACCCAGGCCTACTCGGGTGAGATGTAATCACGCTTACCACTACACCACCGGCGCCGCTTTAGCGCTTGCATGTGTTTCAAAGTTTCCATCTGAAGCTGCTAGGTCCCGATCATTTGAAGGAATTTGGTTACGATCTGGATTTAATGGAGAGCTTTAAAGTTTGTTTGGGAAACGGAAAGAAACTATTCATTTGCTTATCAAAAATTCACACCTTGTTCAATTTTCCCAAACCTGGGACTTCGACTGAACAAACATGGTTTTTTACTATACCGTAAACTAAGAAAATTTCAAAAAATTTTGCTATGTGTCCCTCACATGATTTTTTACAATATGATCAACAAATGATATGTATGTGTCAGACACATATTTAATGTGTCCACATAAAATCCATGTGTAACCATGTGTATGCTATTCATTTAACACATAAAGTTAATGTATCCTTCTGAGTGGATTATTTTTATATGTGGTGAAAATCATGTGGAATTTCATATGGAAATTTATCCATAAAAATGTATGGATTTTTTTGATTGTAGCGAGCGTTTGGAAAGTTCTCAACTTCGAGTTGCAGTTCCACAGTTAGGGTAGAGCGCTACTTCGTCGTAATCGCGCATTTCCGTTCTATTGATCAGAAAAGATCAATAATATCAATGATTTCACCGTGCGTTAGTTCATTAGCTACAACATAAATCCTATTAGAGCGCATTTAACATGTACGCTCATTGTTCTCAACACAATAGAAGCGCTGCTAGCGAATCCCCTTTTTTTACGTTTGTCCGTAGGACGAATAAAATCTAATGGCGTTTCAATGCGCTATGACGGAATTGAAACTCGTAGAACGAATTAAGAATCAAGAAGCAGTATTAGATTTTAAACAATATCTCAACAATTTGACACTCTTTATCAAGTCTAACGTGTGTATAAATTTAGAAGTCATCTTTGGCAGAAATATCCCATTTTTTTGTACAAACCCGTTAAAAAAGAGAGGTTAAGCGCGGGTTGTGCTTAGTAGGACGGAAATTAGATCAAAAACCCTATTTATTGAGAGATTTCTATGCCAACCAGTGCATGAATTTGTATATTGTGTGGCAAGCACAGTGACATTCTATGCCCAGGAAAGTCGATAAAATGTCCAACCCAAAAGATTTCCTCTTCCGGACCGTGCCTTTAATGACTAGATTCCGTGCAAAAAGGTATTAACAGCAGGGGGTTGTGATCCACCATACAAACTACACCTACCTGTGAATCGTGTAACCCAAGATTGGCAGCTAAACGTTTTCTGTCTGGATTGGTTATATATTTTTGTTTCTGGAACGTCTTCTCGAGTCCCTTTTTCTGAAGGTTACTGAATACTGCTCGGGACCAGGATCGTTTCCCTTTCTTGCTGCTATCGGTTTCACCGAATCTACACGATTTAGACTGGAGATGTACGCTATTCACAAGACAATCATGATAAACGCTGAAGCTTGCATCACTTGTCACTTCAGTAACTGCATGCTGATGAGATCCATGGAAACCACCCTTATAGGAAGTTACTTCGAATGGTGTATCAGATTTCATTCCTAAAAAAGAGTTTTCAATTAAATTTTATATTACATGATTTTTGGTAAGTATAAAAAATGATATATATATATAAAATGCTCTCGCAACGTGGGGCTTTAGGCAGTGATGAAACGTCGCTAGAACTATTCCACAGCCGCAGTCAGTAATGAGCCAAAGGAGGACGCACATCTTGTGCCTGTAGACTTGAAGACATACTTCAAGTCTCCGCGTACATCGTACGGGCTAGGCAAAAGATGTGCGTTCGACTTCATACTGTCGCATTAATGGCCCTTCGCTCATTTTCAACTTCTATTCAATTTTCATACTGCCGTACTCTAACGGAACTATCCACCTATCCTCTTCTAAACATCATTCTCTAGCTAATAAATTATCACACTAAAAGCTTCATGTTAGTATTTCCAACCAACTCTGAATTTTAAGTGTTCTTGTTGTGGGTTTCAAATGCGTTAAAGAGGAATCTTACCCAAGCTCTTCAAGTTCATGCGGTTAAGAAAAAAGTGAAATTAGATGGCTGTTCCTTCATATGCAGAAATTGCTGCCTCAAACTGTATAAACCCGCACCCGAAGAACCCACCGCTGGACCATCCGGAGTTCCTGCTGTCAACAGCCAAGGTGAATATTGTATTTAAAAAATGTATTTACATTGGTAGCCATGAGTCAAACGAGCATGACGTCACATTAAATCATTCTGAAAACTTTGTAACGTCAGGCTGGAATATAGTGTAATTTTTACAGTAATGTCAAATATGTTTTTTTAACTTCATTTTCAGTGTCATTAGAAGCACCCAGTTTACAATCGATCAGAAGTACTGACAGTGTGCCTACTACAAACAATGATGAAATCATTCAGCAACTCAAGGAAAAGTTTCTCGAAACTCATGATAATAATGAGAAGTATCGCATTCTTACGACTTTACCCAGAAGCTGGTCAGCAAATAAAATAACGAAGGAATTCGGTGTTTCTCAAGGGTATAATGACGACACCAGGAAGAAAGCTGAGCAGGGCGTTTTTAGCAGAAGAAACTTTATCACTCGTGCGTGATTTCTATACCAGTGACGAAATAAGCCGAGCCTGTCCAGGAAAACGCGACTATGTTATTACAAAAAATGTTAATGGTAAGGTTTATATACAACAAAGATTAGATTTGTGTAATTTGCAAGAAGTTTATGCCATTGTCAAGGATCAATATCCCGCAACTAAAATAGGGTTTTCAATGTTTGCAAGTAACCGCCCTAAGCATTGCATTCTGGCAAGAACGAGTGGCACACATACTGTTTGTGTGTGTGTTTACCACCAAAATGTTAAATTAATTTTTAAAACTCTTCAAGATAGAAAGTCACTTCCAGCTGATGTGAAATCATACCATGACTTGTTTTTTTTAACTTATTTGCACCAACCCCACAGAACAGTGTTGGTTAAAAATGTGTGAACATTGCCCAGGTATACAACATTTGACTTCAGAAATGTTTACTATCCTGACCGATGGAAATGTGGAATCCTTCAAACTCAAACAATGGCGTAAGCTGACCGTTATATCATGGATTTAGTGGAGTTGGAAACTCAAGAGTTTATAGACATGTTTTTGGAAAAGCTATCCGATTTATCACCACATAATTTTATAGCTGAACAACAAGGTAAATACTTGAAATATGCCAAAAATAACTTGAAAGTAACGGAATGTATAATAATATGTGATTTTTCTGAAAACTTTTTATTTGTTGTACAAGACGCTGTACAAGGATTTCATTGGGCAAACATCCATTTGCTATTTATTATAGAGATGATCATACCAAAGATTTAATGTTTACTAGTTTCACTGCAATCGCGGAGTTATATTTAAATCGATATCCTAGTCGATATCACGAAATTATTTTATCAAATATTTCGATAAAATTGTATTGGTTAATTGGTAACTTTCTTAATCTTGTTCTATCGCATATAAACAATGATTTATTGATTATAAGGCACTGCATGCTAAGGACTCCTTCAAATATTTCCTTAAAGCGAAAGATACGATTTTTAGATAATTAAACGAATTAAGCTCTCACTTTGAATACAATATGACCAGAAACAGCTTAAAGATTCTCATTATATAATTCAGATTAGTTTGTATCAGTCTGCAGAGTCTGTAACTCTCGCCCACCTCAGTCAGGAGCACTTCTGAGAGTCCCTGGCTCCAATGGCCTCAGGGTTGGCGCTTGCCGATTGCAATTACGCACGTGACACACAGAAGAAAGAAAAAACTCCCCAAGCACTTCACTACTCAAGTTCTAAAATTTATTCTACTTGCCGGACACCACTTTTATTTTCCCTCTTCTGTTTCTTTACTCACTCCCTTCTTCTCTCACTTTCCTATAATCTCTCTAATCTCCTTTATTCGTCGGGGCCCATCGCAGCACTTCTACCACGTGTCTTCAACCGTCGACCGCTTGTCCTGCTTGTCCTCGGTCGTCGTTCGGTTCCTCTCTACTTCTTCCTTGTTTGAATTCTCCTTCGCGCGCTCGAATTACTTTTACAAGACTATGGCGTGTACTGGGTTACACGTCCTGGACCTACGAGTTGGTGACGTACTCGGGACGGAAATCAGGGACAGTATAACCAACCGGTGGAACGATTTTAAATTGGCTCACTACTTGACTAGCCTATTGGTCCCAAGCAAGTCGACTAACGTACCCCATTCTAGTCGAAATTCTAATACTACATTATGTTAGTTTGCCCAGTAACGCTTGGTAGATTACCTTTTCGTGGTGCGTTACTGGCATTAAGATCTACCACCGAAGCCTGGTTCGAACTACTTCAAACTAGGGGAACAGAATTGTTTTGTAATCAAAGGAACACATCTTAGTCCTTTTTACTTTGTATGCCTTGTTGATAGTGAAAAGACTCGGCTTTGTCCACCGAGGATGATCTTGAAACAAGGAAAAAATGATTTAGGTAGTTATTTTTCATCAACGTGATACCTAATATTTTATTCGCTGTTCTCTAGTTTGAAGTGATGCATGGTCTGCAAAAGGGGCGCGCCTTTGGAGGGTGTTCCAACAACCCAAAGGGCATAAAGAGCGGGACCTTACAATTAAAGTCGGATCCTTGAGATAAAGGCAAGAATGACAATTGTATTACTGTATTACCGATTACTTCTTCATTTCTCAATAGTGATGGAGTAATACGACATGCACTAAATAAATACCCCGTTACCACAATAGATCAAATACCCGCATAAATCACAACCATACTATTACCACATTGAAAATGGTTTATCTTCCTCTGAAAACCATAATGAGAAAGGTTCAGTCAACTTTAATCAAACCATACCTAGATAAAGTTTTGACCATATTGATAAAGGTTTTCGAAGACCCAACCATACGAACAATGGGTGGTTACGTGGTTACGGTGGAACGTTCACCATACGAAATCTTGCTTTTTCCCATATCTTTTTTGCAAAACAACTATAGCCTTACCACATCAGAAAAGGTTCTAGTTGGATATGTGAAACTATTTCCATTAACTTTCGAATAAGGTAGTACGGTAGGTAGTAAAGGGTGATACGGTCAAAATTTGGTCAAGGGAAAACGCGTGTAAATCGGTGAAATCGTTTATTTAAAAAATCAAATTAAATTTCTTTTTCAAGTTCAATTAGTATAAAATTCAGGAAAAATATTCAGTTAGGCTTCCGCTTTTCCAAATCCGAATTGCCGGGCCTTACGCTTGACCCCTGCCATCAGATTTTGTACAGCCACCTTGTCCACCTTCTTCGCCGCAGAAAGCCAGTTTGCCTTGAACTGCTGCTCGCCCTTAGCAGTTTTTTTGGTCTTCTTTAGGTTCCGCTTGACAATAGCCCAGTATTTCTCAATTGGGCGGAGCTCTGGCGTGTTGGGAGGGTTCTTGTCCTTGGGAACCACCTGCACGTTGTTGGCGGCGTACCACTCCATGGCCTTTTTACCGTAATGGCAAGATGCCAAATCCGGCCAAAACAGTACGGAACAACCGTGTTTCTTCAGGAAAGGCAGCAGACGTTTATTCAAACACTCTTTCACGTAAATTTCTTGGTTGACAGTCCCGGAAGCTATGAAAATGCTGCTTTTCAAGCCACAGGTACAGATGGCTTGCCAAACCAGATATTTCTTTGCGAACTTTGACAGTTTCATGTACTTGAAAACATCTGCTACCTTTCCCCTTCCTTTTGCCGTATAAAACTCCTGTCCCGGAAGCTGCTTGTAGTCGGCTTTGACGTAGGTTTCGTCGTCCATTACCACGCAGTCAAACTTCGTCAGCATCGTCGTGTACAGCCTCCGGGATCGCGCTTTGGCCGTCGTATTTTGTTTATCATCGCGATTTGGAGTCACTACCTTCTTGTAAGTCGATAGTCCGGCTCGTTTTTTGGCTCGATGCACGGTTGTAGACGATACACCCAGCTTATTTGCGGCATCTCGGAGAGAGAGGTTAGGGTTTCGCTTGAAACTACCGGCAACTCTCTTTGTCGTCTCAGCGGCTTCCGGTTTTCGATTTCCCCCCGATCCAGACTTCCTGGCTGTCGACAAACGTTCCCCAAACACTTTAATTACATTTGTAACGGTTGATTTGGCAACTTTTAGCGATTTTGCCAACTTTGCGTGCGAGTAGCTCGGATTTTCGCGATGCGCGAGCAAAATTTTGATACGCTGCTCTTCTTGCTTGGACGGCATTTTGACAACTGAAGAGTGAATTCCAAAATCAAAATAGGAGCAACATTCTACACACACACACCTTCAAAATGAGGGGTGTTCAGGTTTTTTAAATGCAAAATTGAAAGAAATACGTCAAGTTGATATTGACCAAATTTTGACCGCATAACCCTTTAGTACCATTGTTGTTAACTTCATGATATACTATGAAAGGGTATAAATTACCATACTTATTGACGTTATAATAAATACTGTCGTAGCTTATCCGGAATACAGCCGTTATGGGTTGTTCTAATGTGATTTACCTGCCTTGCTCTTGGTAACATGTTTATTGATC